GCCCAGCCAAATTGATACACACATTTTTGGGGGGACATAATTCAAACCATGACAGAGCTCTTTTGCTTTTGTGCTTTATTTAACATTCAACACACTGGGCATTTTCACACAGCCTAGGCATTCCCTATAACCTTAAAATGTTTAAGAAAAAAATACTGTGGCCATTATCATTAGTATCAATTTCTATAGCACTCTGATAGATAAAGTTCTGTACAAAGAGCTTTCAGCAGAATTAGAATCCTTTGGGAATTGCATATCTGAACACTGAATCTCTGGCTGATGCTGCCGTTACCCGTGTTCCCTCATCTTCCTCCATCTGCCCCTCTGAAGCTGGCTGGCCACTCACAGCAGTCAGGGGATGTGTTTATTCTGCTTTCTTTCTTGAAAGAGGCTGTCTGTTACTCATGACCCTGGTGACTGAGTTGGAAATCCATTTAGCTCTGGTATGCGTTCTTGGCTGCTTCCGGCCTTACCTGCTGCTTTTCTTGCTAACCATGCAGCTAATACCTGTACTTTGCCATAAAACAGCAGGTGTCCGCAGTACAAAAAAAATGTTTTCCACACACTTACTAAATCCTGATGTTTTCACTCTTCTAGAGAAACCTGAGCCTGCAAAGTCAAGCAAGAAAAAAATTGCCATCCCACAAATCGTCATCACACGCCCCTCCAACGAGACTCTCCTCAGCTGCAGCTCCATGGAAATCAAAGAGCAGAAGACCATCAAGGAGCATGCTGGTTGGGGCCCCCTTGCCCGGCACAGGAACCCCAGCACAGTGGACGCATACAGTTCAAAAGACAGGGAATAAACGCGTGCTGTGGAGTCCTGTTGTTACTCACGCGGCAGTGCAGGAGAACTGGACTCAGCTTCATCTCGGTAACAATGGCAGAAGTGCCACCTGCCTTTCGAGGAGCTGCAGTTGCCCCACAGTGAACCAGCTTCTGCCCCGGGGACTACCTCGACCTCATCTGTTCCAGAGCTGCGTGCAGCCTGACGGAGGGCAGCAGGAGTGACTCCTGCCCGACAGTGGACTGTGGTAGCAGTGAATCAGTCAGTCTGTCCCTGAGCCTTGGCCACTATGCAGAGGGATAAGCAGGCAGCAGCTCACACTCTGACCCGCGGTCGGCAGGTCACATTCTTCCTGGACCCTTTAGAGTGTAGTTGTAAGTGCTGGAAGTTACAGTGAATGAGGTGTCCCCAAACTTTAAGGTGTGATGTTCCAGAACGAGAAGTGCAGTCACCTTACAGAGGCCCAGGGGCTCTGAACTTGACTATGGCCTGACCCACATGAAGAATGTGGAGTGTGCAGTATGTCCGGGGTAGCGCAGCTTTGGAAGTGGCGCATCAGCACTGTCTGGGAGGAGGGAACTGAACTAACAACTCCGGTCTTCCTTGCTGGTGCACAAGGGCTCTGGTGGTGAGGGCCATTAGGGTACCTGAGTCCAATGCTGTTAGATATGCTCCTCATCCTCACCAGCAGCCTTCGGGTCAGGCTCAAGCCTGCTCCAGGTGTCAGTGAGCTCACCCGTCTAGTCTGTGACCGTGTGCTTAGCTTCCCTGTTTATAGACAGGTAGGCAGGCTTTACACAGTATGCCCTAGGTGCTGACATCTGGTGGGCTAACAGACCCAGGTGACAGCACAGTCCCTGGGTGGCCATGTTCACCAAGGTTATGGACTCAACCCAGAGGAGCTAGGGGAGGGGCCTGGGGCCTGTCTCTACGGCTCTAGGCAGTATCTGAGCAGTTTCTGATACATAAGTACAGACACACATAAGTACAAATACTCGTGTACACACACGCATAATGTATACATGTGTACACACTGCATACATACATACCCATATGTATACACACGTACATGCATATATATAGTTCTATAACCTAAGTGATGACTTTGACAATTTTTCAAAATCAGAAAAGCATGAAGATATAACATTGTTTAAATATTGTTCTGTGTAAATGAGTTTTAAACTGTTCAGGGTTAATGCTTGGCAGAAGCCTGATTTTTTTAAATGGTGGAGGTTTCTGACTGAAAGCTGGTTTCCATTAACCTGAGTACCTGGAGTTGGACAGGCCTGTGCTCCTGGACACCTTTCCTCACCTTGTCCACCCTGAGCAGGAACATCTCCACCTTCCATCCCTTAGAAAGACCATCTGAGAATCAGAGGAAAGATGTCCAGAGGCCCCTCTGAGCCTCTCAGGCCTTTTGAGCTGCTCTCTGGCAGCCTCCCAATTTACCAGAGAACTGAGCCACCTCTGCCTGCCTCCCCTGCCTTCCCTGGGTGTTGGCAGCAGCCTCCTTGCCAAGGTCTCCCCAGTTCCTCCGTGACTGAGGGGGCCTGTTAGCACCCAAGCCAGGCATGTCTGCCTTTTCCACAACCACAGAGGAGGCTCAGTTCTGGAGCAAGACACAGCATCTGCAGGGTGATGGTTGCCTGCACAGTGGACTCCCTGTTCCATCCCTTGCCCTTTCAGTCTGTTCCCAACACAGCAGGCAGAGCAATTCTGTCCAGTCACAAGCCAGAATATGTCCCTCCTCTGTTCAAAGTCCCCTAAAGGCTCCCACCACCCACAGCAAAAGCCAAAATCCTTAGAGTGGACTACAAGGCCTGTCTTGATCTGTCCGAGGGCTTTGGGGACCGTATTCCTCCTCTGCCCAGACTGGCCTACTGAGGCCCTGCACTCCCTAGGACTAGGATGCTTTCTCCCTAGTGTCTCCACAGCTAGGCCTTCCCCGGTCCCTACGTACAGCTGCAGCCCCTCTAACATCCCATTCGCTCCCCTGCCCTACTTTCCCTCAGTACGTACAACCCTCACGTCATCTCCCTGGTGTATTGCCCGCCTCTCTGGTAGAATGTAGGGTCCCTGAGAGGAGTGTCGCGAGGCCCAGCACAGACACAGGTGTTGGGTGACTCCTTGGCCCCACGTGGCATCCTTCCAATTCTTTCAACACCTCGAGCATGTGCCCTGCTCTCGTACTGATTAGCCATGCCCTGGCCGCCATCACCTCCCCAGTACCAGGCCTTCTGCTCCAAGGGAGGGCTTTAAAGCACAGCCCGAAGCCCATCAAAGGCTCCGGTGGATCTGGGGGTCGGGTCAGACCCCTTCCCACCAGCCTCCAGACCCCGCACAACTTCCTCGACCTTTTCCTCTGAGCGTTTTTACTCGGCGCGTCAACCAGATTAGGTGCGGGTCCTTAAAGCTAAAACAGGCCGGAGCCGACTCTACCAGCTGAGGTTCCCCTGGCGGACCGTTGGTAACCGTTGCTAAGGAGGGGACGCCCCGGAAGTGGGTTGTGCGCCTGCGCTGAGGGAACCCCATCTGCGCCTGCGCACATAGGAGCGAGAGGGGCAGTGGTCATGGGGGAGCCGGAGCCGGAGTCCGAGCAGATCCGTCTGAAGTGCATCCGTAAGAAAGGCTTCTTCACTGTGCCTCCGGAACACAGGGTGCGACGGGGAGCCTTTTGGGCAGCTTGCCGTCCTCGCTGGCTGCAGGGCTGGGGGGAAGCGCGCTTGGGCTCTCGGTGTCGCGCTCCGACGCCGCGGTTTCCGGCACGACAGTACTAGAGTTCTTCGCGGTGGGCGGGGAACCTGACGCCAGTCTCCCAGTTCTGGGCACTCCTCGCGCTTTTCGGGAAAATACACAAGGAAAGAGTGGGAGGGGCGGAGTCTTTCACCTGGCGTGGGGTGGGACAAAGCAGGGCCCTCTCACTGGGCAGCTTCGTTTGTTCTTCCGTTGCATGGGGTTACCGTCATTGAGTCCTCTCTGCCACCGTTTGCCGCAGGCACCGTTACTGCCCCCTTTGTAGATGAGGAAGGTGAAACTCTGGGGCGTTGAGCCATTTCACCAAGGTAGACAGCTTGCACCGGGACAGAAGTTTGAACTCTGGCTCTGGCTTGCGTTTTCATTACTTGCTGTTGCTCAGAGAGGCCACTTCACTGTTCAGTGACATTCATTAGCAGATTGTGGCTGAATGGGTGGCAGGAGCCACACTTGGTCGTGGGCTGATCACTGAGCATCACTGTCAGGCAGCACGTGTCCCCTGAAAGCAGTGAGTGGTGGGGACCTTGATCTCTGAGGGGACTAAAGGCACCAGACAGGGTCAGTGCAGCGTGCAGTGGTGGGTGCCTTGAGACACAAGTATGGGGGATTGTGAAGAAAGAAATTGCTTCCAGCTGGAATTCTTGGAAAAAGTTGTAGAGGGTGGTATTTCTGTTGAGCCAGGAGGTGTGGCCAGGATTTAGATGTAGGGATGAGGGGAGTGGTGTGCCAGATGCAGGGAGCTGCAGAAGCGGAGAAATAGAGTGTGTGAGCAGGAATCACAAAATTTAGCTTGCTTGGAGAGAGAACGTGAAGAGAGGAATTCAGGCAGGAAAGGGAGGTTGAGGTGAGAACATGGACTTGGTCCCCTGGTGTCAGAAAGTGACCTGGTCTAAGGGCAGGGTCTGTGAGAAAAAGGCAGGAGACCAGATGGGACTTTTACAATTCGAGCTTTGCTGCATGTGCTCTCAGACCCCAAAATTCAGTGGCTCAGATAGAACAGGGCTCTAATTCTCTCTTCCCTAACGCTTCAGAGACCAGCAACTGTTTTTTACAAGGTGGGTTGGGTGCTCCTTCTCTTTTACTGCTCTACTTGCACTTTATCCAAATCCCAGCCTGCCTCGAGGCTGGAGAGAAGCGAGGGCATCCAGCTTCCCTGGGTGTGGAAGTCACAGGTTTTGCTCTGCTTCCATCTTATTGGCCATAATTTAGTCCCATGGCCACCCCTAGCTGCAAAGAAGGCTGAGAAATATGGCCACCAGCTGGTGGGACAGTTTGCAATCTCTCCCACAGGAGTGTCTCCACTGTGGTAAATACTTCATGAAGGCCCTGGACCTCTTCCATCTGCCGAAGTAAAACTTAGCAATTCCCACAGACTTTCTGCAATGGTGGGAATATTCTGTTTTCTGCCTCATCCAGTATAGCCACCACGATCCACACATGGCTATTGAGCACTTGAATGTGGCTAGTGCAACTGAGGGGTTGGATTTTTAATTTTAATTTAAGTATCCACAAGTGGCCAGTAGCCACTATATTGGATAGTGCAGATCTAGACCATGGAACGGAAAGGAGGGGTCATGCCAAAGTCATGAGTGAGCTTCTCAGTGCAAATGACATGCAAAGTACCCACCCACAGTTGTTCTATTAGCTGCAAGAGACCACCCTGGCAGCACATCTCTCTTTTTCAGCTGGGACGATGCCGAAGCGTGAAAGAGTTTGAGAAGCTGAACCGCATTGGAGAAGGCACTTATGGCATCGTGTGTGAGTGGCTATAACAGGCCAGAACTGCAGCTCGTGGGTCTGATGTCTCTGGGGCGGGGGCTGTGTTGCAGCAGCAACAGCTGTGGTTGAGCTGGAAGGGGGTTCGTGCCCTCCCTCTGTAAGCAGGGCACACATGAGTGTGAGTGAACTTTACTTCCGGGTGGAGTTACTACACACTTTACAGCATGTCTGAAAAACGTGTCAGTTGTTAATGTCAGCGTTGCTCATGTTGACCACAGAGTGTAGGTGACTGTCACATCGACAAAGCATAGGACTTCCCAAAGCATCCACGACATTGGTGCGTCTCATCCTGCCAGGCATTTGGAACAAATCAGCACAAGGCTTTGGGGAGCCATCTTTGTATACAAGGATTATTTTATCTAAACGATGCATTTTTGCTGTGAGAATGTAGTACAAGAGAACACAGAGCAGTGATCTGCATCCTGACTAGGAGGAGGACTGCACGAGGGCTAGTCATGAGATGCCTCTCAGTAGCTAGAGGCCATCTTCCTGTGCAGAAAGCAAGCAGAAAGCTGGGTACAGGACCCAGCTCAAATCAGAAAACGCCCAAGGGAGCATGCAGCCATGAGGTGGGCATGCTGTTGCCCAGTGAGGCGTAAGTGTCGCTGGGCGTCAGGGTTGTCCAAAGAGAGAAGTGGACCCTGAGCTGGCATAGGCAGAGCTCTGCCTTGCCTGGCTGCTGTGTGTGGCATGAGGGAGCTCATAACTGGGACCAGGTTGATCTCTACTATGGATGTGCTTCCATTCCAGATCGGGCCCGGGACACCCAGACGGATGAGGTTGTGGCCCTAAAGAAGGTGCGGATGGACAAGGAGAAGGACGGTAAGTAGAGGCAATGGGGGCTGGCTGCCCCTCATAGTGGGTGTTTGCAGAGCTCCTGGGAGGTGCGGGAGTAGGGTCCCTGAGGGCTGACAGGCCGCTCACCAAGGCTGCTGTCATGCAGGGATCCCTATCAGTAGTCTGCGGGAGATCACACTGCTCCTGCGCCTCCGCCACCCCAACATCGTGGAGCTGAAGGAGGTGGTTGTGGGAAACCATCTGGAGAGGTGTGCTACCCCACACTCCTGCCCCTGCTCTGCATCAGGTCCCCTGCTAACCCCACCCTACCCCAGCCTCCTGGTCTCCCTCTGCCTCAAGATGCCCCCTGCCCACTTCTTCCTCTCCCTTCAGCCTAGAAAGGCCCTTCGCCCATGTAGGGCAGGGTGGGAGGTGGCATGCACTCCTTTTCTTCCAGCATCTTCCTTGTGATGGGTTACTGTGAGCAGGATCTGGCCAGCCTCCTAGAGAACATGCCGACACCCTTCTCAGAGGCCCAGGTGTGTGGTGGTGGCTGGGGGGTGAGGAGGGGCCTGCACAGGTCCTACTGATGGGGAAGGTTCCTCTGCATGTTTGTGCCAGCATGGCACCCACTGTCTCCGGTGTCTCTGCAAGCCTAGTAAAGTGGCATCATGCTCATGGACTGGGGGGAAGGGGTGGTGCATGGTGGTGAGGAGTGCTCCGGCCTCACTGCTCATAAGCCAGGGCCTCTGATGAGCTCAGTGTACACTCGAACCACGCCAGACGTGGAAACAGCTGTTCCTGAGGCCATCGTGGTAATGCTGGTGCTGTTGGCTTGTGACCATGTCCCTCAGGCCTGCCCTGACTGGCATCCCCTGTCCCCACAGGTCAAGTGCATCACCCTGCAGGTGCTCAGGGGCCTTCAGTACCTGCATAGGAACTTTGTCATCCACAGGTGGGCCTGATGGGAGGGCCAGGGGGCTTGCTGGGACACTTGTGCGGGTGGGGACACGTCTGTGATATGGGTGAGGTGGCCTGGGCTGTCCACAAGAGTGGTTGCATGGTCATGATGCAGTGGGAAGTTATCTAACTGCCCCATGAGGAGGGGATCCAGGACCGAATCATTTCGAGGAGTCCCACAGACCAGTCTCCCTGAGGAGAGTCACAATGCCCACCTAGTCATGGCTCTAAGAAGTCCTGTAGCGAAGGGTTCCTCCTAGTGGCCTTGTTGCATATGCCACTTGGATGAGGGGAGAGCAAGTCTGGGGGAGGAGGTCTTTGAGGTGGGAGGCCTTTTAGGACTCGTGTCTGGGGGTCTCCTCGGTAAAGTGACCTCACATACTTGCCACTCCCCTTAAAGGTTTGCCTTCGTGTAGGGGGTTTGATCTGACGTGTAGGGGGCATCACTGCCGTTCCTGTGGGGGCTCCCTTCTCAGCAGGTGCTCGCTGTTTCTTACCCACAGGGACCTGAAGGTCTCCAATCTGCTCATGACAGACAAGGGCTGTGTGAAGACAGGTGGGTGCCATACCTACCACTTTCCCATGGGGCTGCCTTGATGGTCCCATGTGGCTTAGCGAGCCTAGCACCTGTTGCTAGCCCTGGGCGTGATCCCTAACTAAATTCTTTTTTTCTGCCTCTGTCACAGCGGACTTTGGGTTGGCCCGGGCCTATGGTGTCCCTGTAAAGCCAATGACTCCTAAGGTGGTCACCCTGTGGTGAGTTCCATGGAAGGTGCGGTGGCCCTCCTACTGGGCATGCCTGGTGGGGGGCAGCTTGGGATGTCCAGCTAAAGCTCCAAAGGGAGGGTCTTCAAGCTTCAGGGGCTGTTCTGGGCCCAGGACAGCTTCCCAGGACGTCTAAGGGAGGAAGCCACCTGCTATCCCAGACCTGCCCGGTCCAGACAGGCCCCTGTGGTGGGCCATCTCGGGGAGACCAGCAGCTTTCCATAAATATTTATCATTAATGGTTTTAGAAGGAGAGCTTGACTGGGCGGAGAGTACGGCTTTCCTGTTGGCTGGGGCCCCACGCAGCCATCCTCTAGCGTGTGTCCTTTAGCCCACATATGCAAACAGGTCGGGGCAGGGCTGCTGTGCCCTCGGAGGCCTGGGCTGTGCTGGACACAAGTAGGCTTCTCTCCTGCAGGTACCGAGCCCCCGAGCTGCTGCTAGGAACCCCCACACAGACCACCAGTATTGACATGTGGTAAGGAGTGGGACCCCAATGTGGGGGCAACGTGATGGCCAGGTTTTTGCTAGATTCTAGCTCCCTAACCCGACAAGAAGTAGAAGAACCTAGTGACTCTGGGTCTCCAGCACTGAGGTCCCACAAGGTCACTGCCTGGGGTTGGGGGGGTCCCATTCCATCTCCTCCTATGCCCTCTGGCCCCCCAGTATTGGGAGGGCATTTCGGGCATGTCAGTGGGTGGGGTGTCTGTGGAGAGTGTGTGTGTGAGGCCCTGGTTTCTCCTGCCCAGGGCCGTGGGCTGCGTCCTGGCTGAGCTACTGGCCCACAAGCCGCTTCTCCCGGGCTCATCTGAGATCCACCAGATTGACCTTATTGTGCAGCTGTTGGGGACGCCCAGCGAGAATATCTGGCCGGTGGGTACCAGAGCCAGTCCACCCACCTTCCCCACCTGTCGGGTCTACCTGCCATACAGGTCCTCCACCCACTGCCGGGCCCATCTGATGCCCACCCCTTCCTCTGCCCACCCGCTGCCGGGCCCACTGTCAGCCCCCGCCTTCCCCAACCCCCAGGGCTTCTCGAAGCTGCCGCTAGCCAGCCAGTACAGCCTGAGGAAGCAGCCCTACAACAACCTCAAGCACAAGTTCCCGTGGCTCTCGGAGGCTGGGCTGCGCCTGCTCAATTTCCTCTTCATGTATGACCCCAAGAAGAGGTGCTGACCCAGCCAGCTAGTGTGTGAGCATGGCACAGGGCGGGCAGCTCCTTCGGCCGGGCCCTACCAAGACCCCTTACACTGAATCTTCAGCAGTGAGATGCTCCCTCATCACTCACACATACCCTGCCCAGTCCCATGTTGTCCCCACCTTTCTGTGTTGGGGAGTTTATTCTCTGTCTCAGCCCTACTCTCCATGGAGCTGAGAACCAGAAAGTTCAGAGGTGAGCAAGGGTGTGAGGGAAACAAGCTCTTCACTGAGGCCCCCTCTCCCCAGGGCGACTGCTGGGGACTGCCTGGAGAGCTCCTACTTCAAGGAGAAGCCCCTGCGTGAGTTCCCCTATCCCTGCCCTAGCACAGCACCCAGCCTGTGGCCTTTTATTTTGGGAAGGGGTGGTGGTGGTGGTGGTGGGACAACAGTCTTATGTAGCACTCCGTGTCCCCAAGGCACAGTCAGGCAGCTCCTAGCTCACACTTGGTCCAGGTGGGGTGAGGGCCCCCCAGGCAGATAGATCTCTGGGGTCGGGGAAGTGCATAGCTCCTGGGTGCTGAGCAGGCCTCTCCCTGCAGCCTGCGAGCCGGAGCTCATGCCCACCTTCCCCCACCACCGCAACAAGCGGGCTGCCTCCGCCGCTGAGGGTCCAAGCAAGCGTGGCAGGCTCTGATGGGTCAGAGCCCAGGACCATCTCTGAGCATAATGGGCTAAACAGGTGAAGGGAGCAGTTTTCACCCTGACTTTGGCCTCAGTGCAGCAGGAAAGCCCCTGCAGCCCTGAGGTGTGGACAAGAGGTCCAGGCTGGGAAGTGGCTGTGCCTAGTCCTGCCCTCCCCAAGGTGCCCAGCTGGACAGCTCTGCTGTGGTGGTACCATCTAGCAGCAACGCCTCTGGGAAAACAGCTGTCTGTCTCAGGTGGAAATGCTGGTGTGGATGCATCATGGGGCCATGCCCATGGGGGGGACTGCAACCGTGGCTGGCCGCTGGCCTGGGACCGACAGCCTCAGAGACTGTTCTTGGGTCCCCGGTCACCCCTTTCTGGGGCAGGAAGAAGCCCTGGGGACCTCCTGGAGTGGGAAGGCAGAGGGGTTAGGTCTGTGTGGAAGGTGATGGGCAGGGTCTGGACTACAACAGAGGCTGTGGGAGCCCGGTTTCGGGAGGGACACCAAGCTCCTGTACCCGAGGGGCTCAGAGATAAAAGCTTTGTAATGGCTGCAGTGTCACTCGTTTAATGTACTTAAGGTTCAGATTCACATGATGTCGATGGGGTCATCCTGAGTACTGGGAAGGAGAGGAGGTGGGAGGCGGGGCACTGGGTGAAGAGGACACGGTTTGGGGCCTCTGAGGACAGGCACCTGCCCCGCCTGCTCCCTGAAGCCAGCTGACTGCCCCAAAGGGCTGCAGCCCGCATCCCCACCCATCCTACTTGCCACCCCACAGCCTGGTTGTCAGAGAAGATCCTAGGGGCCAGTCCAGGGATGGGGCTGCACTTCGCTCCCTCCTTGGCCTCGTGTCCGCCCTTCTTTCTATGTGTGTGCCAGGGTGGGAAGGCCAGTGAGGCCATTCCTCCAGCCTCAGAGCCAGGAGAAGGCCACTAGTCCCTGACGGACACCTGGAAGGAGGCAGCACCTAGAACCTTGAGCTGTAGGAAGGACAGTGCTACAGGGAGGTATTCTGAAGGTGGGGATGTAGAAATGCCATGCAAAGCAGCGGGGACAAGCGGCCAGAGACCCTCCCGTGGGGACAGATGGCCTCTTTGCCCAGCATGCACAGCCTGAGTCTGGGTGCTGAGGACAGGCTGGCCCACTGGGGCCTGCCACTAGTCGGCTGCCCCTGACCACCCTGGGGCACCTGGAGCACTCTGCACCACTGCACAGTTCTCCCATGGGTGGGGGTGGGTGGAGGCCAAGCCTTCACAGGCTACCACCCAGATAAGCACCACGCGGCTCCATATCTCCCGGAGTGTCGTGATTGCTGCCGCTGCGCTAAGGCCCAGGCCGTGGGGCACCAAGCAGGGCGTCCACTCTCGAGCGTGGTAGCCACGTGCGCTGTGGTTGCTCGCCAAGAGATGGCTGCAGCACACTGGGCTGCACGCAGCTGTATGCTGGGAAGCCCTCGGGGCCAGCCAAGTCCGAGGTTCGGCCCAGCTCGTGGCGCAGGGAGAGGAACGAGAAAGGGGCTGGCTCAGGTTCCTCCTCGAAGGCCCCGTAGGGCAGGCTGTTGACAGGGGCCTCCCAGGCTGGGCCCCCTGCACACCACACCTGGGCACTCTGTTCCCAGAGTGGTGCCTCATAGGCTGACTCCGTGGGGGGTGAGACAGCACCTGGTGAAGGGCCCCCATACAGGCTGGCCTCCTCCTCTGAGCCCTCTTCCTCTGCCAGGTCCCGGTACAGGTCCAGCGGGCACCCAAACACCGCCGGGGAGCCATGGTGGGGGAGAGGTGGCGCCTCCTTGGCCCGGGCCAGCCGCTGCTGCAGCCAGGCCACACAGGAGGCCACGTCCCCGCTGGCCCGCCTTGCTGCCAGCAGTGCCTCAGCTGGCAGCAGGCTGGTGCCCAGCTGGGCCAGCACCTCACCCATGATCTCACACTCCAGGCGCAGTGCGAAGCAGCCCAGGGCCACCTGCACCAGCTGGCAGGCAGGGGGCAGTGCCGTCACCGTGAGGCGGTGGTTGTCCCTGGGCGCATAGCCCATCTTCTGGAAGCTCCTGGTGAGGAGGTCCTCAGAGAGCGCTCCCTTCAGCACGTGAACGTAGCCCCCAGAGAAGGTCTGCAAGGGAGAGGCTGGTCACAAGCAGTCCCCCTTCCACAGGCTGGGCCCATTTCAGTGGAGGAAGCATGTTCAAAGAAATTGGGTAATTTGCCCAAAGCCACACAACTAGGAAGAGGATGACCAAGAGCTCTATCAGCCCCTGCCCAACACCAAAGCCCATGGGTCGTTCTCCTGCCTGCCTGCCTCTAGCCCCTGAGCCCTCAAGGGCAGGCCTGTCTGCTTGTTTCTGCAGCCCCAGTACCCAGGATGGGGCTGGTGCTGCTCAGGGCTGCATGTGCTTTGAATGAATGAATTTCTAGAATCTTGGACCAGCAGGTGTCCCCATAGTGCAGCAGGCTCCAGATCTCACCTCTAGAGAGAGGGTGCTACTGCCATGGCAACCAGCGGAGGCGTACCTCGCCCACGTGCACAGTGACATCACCTCCTTCCTACTCTTCTGAACTAGCTCAGGGAACCAGACGACCTGCCCCCTTCTGCCACCGGGGCAGCTCCCTCCAGGGTGTAGGTGCCCCTCCAGCTCCTCCCCATTTCATAGGGGTTGCACCCCGCCCGATGTTTCCCCCCCACCTCAGTCTCCCTCTGTCAATGAGGCTCTGACTGTTTCCTAGAATTAGGATGACTTCAAGTCGTTCCCCTATGCTTGTCCGAGGACATATATGGCAACCAGCGCTGCGGAGAGAGCACTGATGCAAGTTTTAAGGAGCAGAAACCCCGGGAGGCAGGCTTTCAAGCTCGCCCTCCACGCACCCCATGTTGCCAGCCCTGACAGTGCCCAGGGGGCCTCGACGGGGCACTGCCCCAACACGCCCCGCGGTCCCTGGGCTGAGTCCTGTGAGGCCCAGTCAAGCCCCTGGCCCTGACAGGAGCGGCCCCTCCTACGGCCTGCAGCAGCTGGCAGGGACAGGAGCTGAGGTCCCATCTTCGGATACCCTACCTTGATGGTGGTGAACTCCTTTCTCCAGGGCAGCAGGTACAGGTGCACGGCGGCCAGCTCGAGCAGCTCGAAGGCGCGGGCCAGGCCGCGCAGCGCAGGCGCCAAGTCGGCACGGCCCCACAGGCCATCGGTGAGCAGCGCCAGCGCGTCGTCCTGGAGCGCCCCGTGCAGGTCGAAGTCCTCCACCAGGATCTGCCAGAGCACGGCGCGCAGCGAGGGGTCTCCGCACACGCCCGCGCGCCCGCGCCGCAGCTCGCGCTCCAGGCACAGGCGATAGTCCTCGGACAGTGAAGTGCTGCCCATCCTGGGGTGGGGGGAGGGGCGTCAGGGGCTGGAGACCTCGCTCCGCTAGCTGTGTACACTCCTCACCTCCCCTGTCCAGCTTCCGCAAGTCATCCCTGCAGCCTAGAAACCCCGCCCGGCATCTACAGAGCCCTCCAGCTTGGAGACCCCACCCCCGGGACCTTCTGGGGAAAACGTCAGAGAGAGCGGCCCGCCACTTGCAGGGTCTCCCAGATAAGAGCCGCTTCCACCAGCGCCCTTCGCCTGGCCCTGCCGGCTAGGCACCCCCTAGTACCCACAGCACCCTAAGCCTGGAGACCCCGCCCCCGCAAGCATGTGAAGCACACCCCTCTGCATGTGCAGCGCCATCCAGTCAGGAGGTCCTGGCCCTCAGCTGAGCCCCGCTCCACACCACAGACCCCTCGCCCACCCGGCCATGCTGTGGGCCCCGTGGGAAGCGGCGCTACCTGTTCCCGAATCGCGAACGCTCAGTCTCTGCCTGCCCCGAGCCGAGCTCTTCCGCTGGGGTTCGGCTCCGCCCACTGACCGTAACGTTAAGGGCGGGGCTGGACTTGGGTACCGCCCGTCGGCAACGAAGGCTAGCAGGGCCGCCGGGGTTCCCGCGCCGCGGGGCGGGGCTTCCAAGCCGCGGGGCAGGGTTTGTGAAGTCGAGAAGCGCGGGAGCCCCGCCCCGCTGAGCACCTGCGCGATGCACCGCTACCTCTACCTGAGTTCGCGTCGCCTTGTCCCCACCGGAAACCCGGGCGTGGGAGGGGCGGGCGGCACACCCGCACGGTAATTGGCCGGAGAAGAGGAGGGCGGGCGCGGGGCGGGGCCAGCTTCGGGTGTGGGCGGAGCCTGCCGCACGCCCGAACGTTGATTGGCCGGAAAAGGGGAGGGGCGAGAGGCAGAAGCAAGCCAGCTTCCCGTGGATCTGTAGACCGCTTCCAAGTGAATTTCGCTGCTGCGAGAGATCGGAAAACTGCGGGGAGTGCACAGCAAGGCGGGCGGTGCCAGCCTGTTGTTACTGGTCTTCGCTGGGCAGATGGGGCAATGGGGAGGGTTTTGTCAGGAGGACCTCTGGCCCGGCCCCACGCCATGGAGGCTCTTGCCCATGGACAACTGCCTCAGAGACGCGAGCTCCTGTGCTACTTGCGGGGCTCAAACCGAGACCCCACTCCTCCTATCACCCACCAGGGTGTGGTCTGGAGAAGGTACTGCTTCAGTTTCCTTATGGGCTTCTTGTCGGTGCTAAATGAGTTATTACTTGCAGAGAGCTGGCAACGGCCTACCCCAGAGCATTCACTAACTCCTGGTATTCTCCGTCGGCCTCTCTCCCCAAGGAAACACGAACACTGCCCCCGCCAGCCAGGTGTGAGGCCTGAGCCTCTCAATATTTGGACCCTCTCTCAGTGCCCTGCCACACCCCACTCCAGGGGAAGGGCCTAGATGTCCAGGATCCCTCCTGCCCTGCCAGGCCCGCCGTCCATGCTACCCTCGACTGGGGTGTGTGTATCATGGCTGCCCTTCCAAGGGGCCTGCTTTCTCCTCTCCAGGTGACCACATGCCACCATTTCTCAGGACTGAGGGGTGGCCCAGCAGTCGGGGTCTGAGGCTGGAGCTACACCTAGGGTCCCTGATCCCAAGTGCATGCTCTCAGGGAAACTGGACCTCAGCTTCCCCATCTGTGGGACAATGACTCCTGAGAGCCCTTCAGGGCCAGTGCTCTGGGGCTTTCAGGTCCTGTCCAGTGAAGACCTCTAACCTCGGCCCCATCCCTTCCCCACCCACTGTGGGCCAGGGGTGGGGGAGGCATGTCCCAGGCCCCCAGATCATGTCTACCAGGAGGCTCCTGCTCCAGTTCAGATGGTCAGGGAGGGCAGGCAGGCATGAAGCTCAAACCCTTCACCACCTCCTCTGCCCAGGCTGCCTTTTTGCCTCTTTGGTGGTCAGAAGGGGTGGCTGTGCCTGCCTGGCCTGCCCAGAGTATAGCATGGGGCAGAGTGAGCTAGGCAGGGTGACGACAGCAGTGACCTCTTTATTCTCGGCCAGGTCAGTGTCCCCCTGCCCAGCCCTATGGGAGCACGTAACAGAGGGGGCACTGTGAACACTCAGGCTCACTCGGACACTCAGGCTCGCGCGGCCCAAGTGAGGATGGGTGTCGGCTGTCCTGGCCTGGGTGGGTGTGAGGCTCAAGCCCCAGGACAGGATGGAGACCTGGGGCCTCGGGGAGAGTAGTCAGTGTCCAATAAATAAACAGCTCAGTCTCAAGGGCCTTGAGGCCCGGCCTCTAGGCTGCTTTGAAGGCTCTGGTTCTTGGCTCCAATAAGAAACTGGCTCAGGGGAGTGGAGACTGTCATGGGTGGGACAGGAGAGTCCCTTCTCTGTCCTGATACCTGGCAGTGCATGCCACCACAGGGGCTTGACTGGTCTGGCCCAGGCCTGGCCTGACGCTCATGGGCTGAGCAGGTGGGCCCCTGGGTGCTCCAGGATCCCTCCATATAACCTCTCAGAGCCAGGGTGGGAGAGAGAAGGGCCTAGTTCCCGGGTGCTGCTCGCAGCCCCACACTGTCATAGGTGGAGCCCCAGGGCAGGTGTTGGGCTAGGGAGGGGGAGGGGACTGGACAGCCCCAACCACAACCACCTGCCATCCGACCCCTGGCAGAGTGGAAGCTCCTGGGAAGGTTGGCTCGAGTGCAGGGAGGCAGCAGGGGCCTGGGGTGCACCCGGCTACTTCCCGAGGGCCCCCCGGGGCAGCAGCTCCACGTAGCTCAGGGCGCTCTGCAGCGAGGTCAGGCAGTAGCCCTCCTCTCCAATCAGGTACCTGCGAGGGGTCAATCAGAGGGCATGCTCATGGAGGGACCATGAGGCCACCCCAGAGCTGTTCTCCGTCTACTGATCCTGCCATGGCTCCTAGGGCAATGTGCGCACCTCATAATCCCAAGGGAGGCACTGGATGTGAACCCTGCAGAGCCCTCACTGGGACAACGCTCCCTTCCCCAGACAGCCCACTCCCTTTGCAGATGCTGTTCAGGGAGTGCTGAACGAGGGACAGCGGGATGGGGTCAACCACCTGGTTTACGCCTGGGGAGCATGTAGGCAAGGCTGTCCTGTGTGGCAGACTGGTGCCTCCCACCACGTGCCCCCCCAGCACCCAGTGCCTTGCCCTGCCCCGGGCTCCTACCCCTCGTGGACGAATTCCTCGAGGGCTGCGCACTCTGACACCAGCTGGGGGAGGCCACTCCGCAGCACCACGAAGGACAGGATGGGCAGCAGGTCATCGGCGCCGCTGTCAGGCACAGCCACAATTGGCTAGGGGCTCCCAGCGACTCCCCCTCCAATGCCCCTTTTGTCTGTGGCCTGTGTGACCCTCACAACAGCCTTGCGAGGATGGGCTTGCCATTCTCAAGGATGGAGCCACAGGCTGCTAGAAGGGGCCCGCCTGAGGCGCACAGGATCGCAGGTCTGGATGGGAGGAGGCGAGGGCCGCCTCCTCACACACCGGTCCGGGCAGGAGACTGGGGTGACAGTCACTCACCCAGCCCAGGCAGCAGAACCCTTGCTGGGTGGGCGTGAGTGACCCCTGCAGGGACGCCAGACCACAGCCTCTGGGAAGAGTGGGAGAGGCCATGAGCCCCCTTGGGGAAAGCAGACCCGAGGTGGGGATGGTCCAGAGGATCTTTGTTATACCCGCCATCTACCCACACACACGAGTCTGAGAACGTTCTTCTGAGGCGACCCTGAATTTCACCAGATTTGCCAGGGGGCCCAAGCTGAGAGGCACTGACCCAGCCCTGCCCAGAGGGGCAGCAGTGCATTCTGCTGGGCTCCCTGCCCCTGCCCTCTCTGAGCTCTGGGTCCTGGCAGCAGAGATGGGGCGGACAGCTCTGTGAAGCTCAACCAGGAGAAGCAGGACTGGGTCCTTGCCACCCCCCTCACTCACATGGCGGCAGCACCAGGCGGGGCACTGGTCTCCTGGGCCCGGCAGCAGTCCTCTGCACATGCACAGATGACCCTCAGGGCTCGCACTGCAGACACAGGCCTCGGGTGAGAACTTGGGGGAGGAGGCTGGGGCAGGGGGTGCAAGAGGATACAGCAGGGAGGGCTGGGTGGGGCTGCTTGAACCACTGGGGTGGGGGCATGATGGGAGTACTTCAGGGGCCCGTGGGGCTGTGGTGGGTAGTTGAGTGGAGAGGCCCGACTCCCAATCTATGGCCTTCTCTTGGCCCAGCAGGTGGTACAGGGGACCCCTTTGCCCAGCCACGCCCACAATGTGGGCCAGCCCCTCCTGATGTGTAGGGCTGGAGATCCCTGCGTGGGTATCACTTTCACACCTCCCATGTCCGGTGGATAGTTGCCCCCGCCCCGCCCCCCACACACACTTGACAGCAGGAGAAGGGTCTGCAGCTCGGAGGGCTGAGGCTCAGGTAACCTCAGGGACCTCCCTGCCCCACCCCTCACCGATGCACTCCAACTTTTTCTGGGGGCAGCTCTCTAGGACCAGCAGCCCCAGCTCCTGGACTGCAGCATGGTAGGGGTAGGCGCCTGCACCCTGGGCCTCAGGGTCCTGGGGGAGGAGCTTGGTGGGGACACCGAGAGCCGTGGCGGCCATATTCCTGTAGAGTTCCATGCTCCTGCTCAGGGCAACCTCCCGGGCTCGATGCACACTCCTGGGGCAGAGAGAGGCTCAGCTCAGCCCCCAGCCCAGGGCTCCAGCCCAGGGATGGAGGGCACGGTTGCCAGGGCAGGGCTTCAGCTAGGAAAGCAGTGGTGTGTCCCCAGCAAATGGCCCCAGGTGCTCCCAGGACCCCATCATGGGAGGAAGGGATGCCACTGCAAACACAGGAGTACAGCAGGGTGGAGTTGCAATCCTCTGCAGGGGCCCAGTCACGGAGGAGACCCCGTGGGCTGGGAGAGACCAGCGGAGCGGGCGCTGGTTGGGCCCACCTGTACAGAGCCAGTAGTGGGGCCCACAGCGGGGAGAAGAAGGCCTCCTCCATGCATGCCAGGCAGCGGTCCTTGGCAGCAGCCGTGTTCAGGCCTTCGAAGGCCAGAAGGGTCAGTGACAGTAGCCTGTCTGTGGTAGGAGAGTGGGGTAGACATGGTTATGGGGACAGCTGGGACCTGACAGCACTGCCCCAGTGGCTCCCAGAGCAGCCTACAGCTCCAGATGCACCACCATCTCTCTGGAACGCTCAACGTCAGAGTGAAGGTGCCCTCCTCCTGGGTCCTGCCCCCCTGGCTGGCTCTGCGGGGAAGGGGCTTGACCTGGTCCTCCCTCCCCTCTGATCACCTTCAAACCTACCCTCTGCCCCCTTGGCCTTTCTGTGTCCCCGTGGCCTGGGGTCTGGAGAGGGTACCTGAGACCCGGCTCCAGCTGCCTCTGCTTCCTGTGCTACTGCTGAGACCAGGTCTGGGGAAGGGGAGGGAGGACTGCTTCGTTCAGAAAGGGCCTGCCCCTGGTACTGCAGATGAGGTTTCTGAAGCTGGACCGTGGGGGTCCCACCCTGGCCCCTTAGAGTGTAGACAGCACAGACACAACGCCTGAGTGAAGGCCTCTCCTCCCTAGCTCTCAGAAAACCATGGAGCCCTTTACCCCTTGATCACCTACCACCCCGAACCCATCCTTTCTGGGTCCACTGCTGCATTCAACGTTCCCAAGGCCCAGTGGACCTAAACGTCGCCTGGATCAGGCTGGTTCGTACAAGCCATGGCTGGACCTGGCTGCTGCCATCCTGGCGAGAGCTGCCCCCCACCACCCTCCCACCCATCCCAAGGCCCAGGACAAGTATCCCACTCGTCCCATTGCCCCAGGGCCCAGGCAGTGAGCCAGGCCCAGGAAGTCCGGGTCGGCCCCGCCCCTGCTCCGCCCACCCCTTGGCCCAGGCTCTGCCCGCCTTGCCCATGTCCCGCCCCTGCTCCCACCGATGGCGTTGTGGATGTCCTTTACTGTGCTCTTCAGCTGCTCCAGCAACGGTTCCCTCTTAGCTCCGGGGTTCTGTGCCTCGGACCGCCCCCCGGGCCCCAGGCCCCACCTCTCGGACATAGCCAAGAACTGTTCCAGGTCCTCGAAGGAGCTGTCCTTGTCCCGCAAATGGGACGCGGCATCCCCCAAGGGCGAGGGAGGCCCCACTGGGCTGCCGACCACTCCTCTGTCAGGGGGCCCGTCCTGCGGCTGCGGAGCCGGCTCTGGGGGGCACAACACACAGTGGAGGCTCTGGGAGGCGCGCAGCCGCCGGCTCCCGGGGACCACTGGCCCATCGGCATCCGAGGGCAGAGAGCAGCAGCCGGGGGCCGGCGCGGCACTCTGCGCGGCTCTGCTCACCACCGGGTACAGCGCGCCGTACACTGTGCCCTGAAGCTTCCGCAGGAGCTGCGAGATGGGGTGGTCGGGAAGGCTGCAGGGGAGGAGCGGGTTGGTGAGCTGCTGCAGAGCCGGGGCAGCGCGGGGCGGTGGGTGGGAAAGAGGGCTCACACCCCCTGCCCCAGCCCCGCCAGGGGCCTCATCTCCTTGAGCCTGGGCCCTCATCTGAGACACCTAGCCCTCTACAAAGCTGCAACACTAGGAAGTACTGAAGAGAAATCCTGTCTTACTTCCTGCTGGTAAATGTTGCAAACACTGCCTGTCCCACCCACTCTGGGTTACATTTGAGCTGCCAGACCTCCATTACTTGCTTTCCTTCTAACCTTTCTTACTCGATTTCCTTCTAACATCTATTACTCACTTCCTTTCTAACCCCTTTCCTGTGGTCCCCTAAGGCCAGTGGTTGGGGGCTCTGCGGGTCGTATCACAGGTGCCTGGGGCCCCGATACCTGAGGAGGTGGGAAACTAGGCTGGTCACAAGCGACAGGTCCCCTGGGTTCCTCTTGAGCTTGGCCCTCCAGAGCTTTGGCCAGTCCTGCAGGACAGGGGGCTTGGCGGGCGCACAGCGCCCACAGAAAGACGCCCCGCCTCACTGTGGACACATTTCCCAGGGTGTAGGGAAGCCTCTTGGAGAATCCCGACCCCGGAGGGTCTGGGGGACTCCTGGCTCTGGCTCTGCCCTGCTCACTCCAAGCTGTGCGTGACTCACATGGTCCTGCTCGTATTCAAGGATGGCAGTGTAGAGGGCCCGCTGCTCCCGCTCCTCCGGGCTCAGGGCAACCTGGCTGCAGAACCTCCTGGAGGAGGGAGAGAGAGAGGCCAGGGCTGGGCACACAGGGCCAGACCTCATCCCCACAGCTGCCCTGAGGGAAGTGGACACACCTGTTGGGAGATGGGGGTGTGAGGGATTTACCTGTTGGCTGCCTCCTGTAGTCGCAGCCGGCGCTCCTCCATCTTCCTCTGGAGCTGGATACAGAGTCAAGGAGCCATCGCTGCTGATCCACCACAACCCTCCTCCACTGTGCACACCTGCACTGAGCACCCATGGGGTCAAGGAGGGTGCACTGGACACAGGGGCTCAGTGGCTGGGAGGAGGGCGGACACCCACTTGGAGGGGGCTGTTCCTAGGAAAGCTTCTGAGGGAAGGGGCAGCCTATGTGAGGCCAGGAGGACATGGGTAGATGAAAGCACTGAGGGGGAAGAACATCTCTCCAAAGCTCTGCTCACTGACAACCTAGCACCCATACTGCTGTCCGCCCTCCCCCCCAAGGCTGTACTCTGGATGTCCCCGCAGGACACCGAGGACATGCAAAAAGGGTGCCGTCTCCTCCCGAGCTTTGGCGATCACCAGGTTCTCCATCATCTGCCGCTGAAGGGACAGGGTCTAGCAAGGGAAGGAGCTCATAAGGCCACTCCTGTCCCCTCCCCCTGCTGCCCCCTCCATTCCCAGGCCCTCCCTAGGCCCTGCTCACGAGGGATGTCTTCTGTACAGCCTGGCTGGGGTCCAGACGGGCCATACGGGCCTCATAAGCAGCCTTCAGCTTCTGGTTCTGCAGGGAGGCCTCCTCCAGTGGTGTCAGCTCCCTGGAAATGGTGACAGCTGCTGTCTATCCCCAGGAAACCCAGGAGTGCTTTGGTGTCCCGATGAGCCCCCCACTCACCCCTACCTGGTTCTGAGACCAGAAGGTGAGGTAGTGGTGAGTGGAGGGGCAGTGGAGGCAATGTGAACAAGGGGAGAAGTTTGGGGGGTGACTGCTGCCCTGCCAAAATGTGGGCTTGGTATTACCAGGACTTCTTTTCAAAAGAAGCTAAACCCTGGACTTCTATGCAAAACAAGGTATACATGTTTGGCAACTAAATGGAATTCTTTAAACGTACCATGTGAGCCAGACAACTAGATTAGTTGGCAACACATGAAAGTGAGAACCATGTGTATTCGATGACAGTGACCAACAGCCACTCTACAGAGAAAACTTTCAGTCCTACATATGTCTTCTTCTTTTCAGGGGGATAGAGGGTAGGCTGAGGGGAAACGAGACTGAGGAGGGAAGTGTTTCCTGGGATGGAAGTATTGTGCCTGGCCTCCCCTGCAGTGATGCAGAGATGAGGTCACTGAGGGGCCAGGAGGAACCTCCTGAAGAGCCCGGAGACCTGGCCACAGCAGGGCCAAGAAGAGCAGGTCCTCCATGTTTGTCCTACTTGGGATTCACTGGGCTTCTTACATCTGTGTCTTGGTATCTTTCATCAATTCTAGAAAACTGTCCACAATTACCTCTTCAAAATAATGACTCTCTGCCATTTTCTTTCTCTTCTTCTGGAACACCAGTAAACTTACGTTAGACCTGCCATCTCTCTTTCGTATTTTCTATCTGTATTTTATTTTTCTTTTATAAAAGCATTCTGGGTGTCTTTGACCTTTCTTCCAATTCACTAATTCTCTTTTCAGCTATGTCTGCTCTGCTGTTATAAACTTATCCACTCTGTTTTTTGTTTTTTGGTAGATTTCTACTGGAAAAAAAAAAAATTATTTCCAGTTATTTTTAAATAACTTCAGTTGCACTTTTCATTTCTAGAAGTCCTACTTGGTTTTTTATTTCCTTCGTCAGATTTTATGTTTTCTTGTTCCAGATTTTATAGTTTATTGTTTTCTCTAGATATAGAAAACATAATTGCTTTATAATTTGTGTCTGATTATGTCAATATATGGAGACTTTGCAGGTCTGTTTCTGTGGTCATTCCCTCATAGTTTGTTTCCTCCTGTTTGGTTATTTTTGACTGTGTGTCACTCAATTTTATGAAAGAGGAAGGTATCTTTCTCCAAGTAGGTTTTGCCTTTGCTTCTGCCAGGCACGAGGGTATTCCCATTCTGGGACCTATTTTGACTAAATTTACCACGGTCAACTCACATTGCCTGGCCTCTAATCCCAATCCCCAGGCTCAGGCTACACCCCATTTTGCCCCATCTTACTTCTTAGAGTTTTGCGACTCCACCATCTGAAGCTTCTGGAAGATCTCAGGGGGTAGAAAAGGAGAGAGCTTGCCCCCTTCATCTGAATACACTCGGCGGTGTCGGCTGGTCGGTGAGGGGACTGCAGCAGTCACAGGTTTGGCTGGCTTCAGGCATGGCTTCCCTGTAAGCCATACATAGCCAGAGTTCAGTAGGGTGGCCCCACATTCCACAAGGAGACACAGACATGGGCATACCCAGGAAACCTCCTGCTGTTGGAGACCCACCTAGCTTGGCAGCAGTTGATTGGGCCCTCTCCAAACATTGCTCAGCCAGCTTCAGCATCTTCGAGGTGTCTGGGGGTACTATCTCCCCAGCTTCTGGGGGAGCAGGAGACAAAAAAGGCCAGTTACCTTCGGCTTGAATGCTAATCAGAGTCTTGCTGAAGTGAAAACAAGGCATGGGGAAGCTGGGTTTACCTCTTGATTCTGAGGCAGATTCTAGGCTGGGCCAGGTCAGCATCTGACTGACTTTCTTTCACTCACTGGAAGTGGACCTTTGGAGTTCTCTACCTAAACAGGGCCTTTCTTTATTCCTCACTGAGTGCTTCACCTGCACCCTACCACCCTGTGTAAGATGGGTCATACAACTGCTGTATCATTTCATAAATAAAGACATGCTGAGGGAACAGCCTCATTTCTCAGCACCCTATTGCTGTGTCTGCACATGGACCTGCCTTCCTGCTCACTGCTCAAAGTGCTTCATGGCCTTTTCCTCACATCAGAATGACTCCAGTTCCACCCCAAGGTGCACAGAGCTCTGCACGACCCACCCAACCCTAACTGCACCTCTTCCGTCTCCACTTGTCTTCCACAAATACACCACCCACTCCCACCTCAGGGCCTTTGCACATCCCTCTGCTAGGAATGCTCTCTCCAGACCTTGGCACGGCTCACTCCATCCCTTCGTGGGTTCAGTGTCATCTCTCTCAGGGGTGCTTCTGTGACCCTTCCCATGATACCTCACCCCCACTCTCCATCCTCTTGCCCACAGCACCCGTCCCTTCTGGCCCTGCATCATGCTATGGCAACCGGTGCTTGCTGAGTACCATTGATCCACCTTCTGCTAATGATCATGCTGGCAGGAGATGTCCAGGCCTGGGACCCAGTAAGGGCTAAGTTCCCATGATTAGCCCAGCATGGGGAGGAGTTGCGAGGCTGAGAGCCATACCTTTGATCATTTCCGCTTCTTCCAGCAGGACCTGGGAGATGTAGTGGATGCTCCTCAGGTATTCTGTATATGCCTCCTGTGCCCAGAAAAGAGAAATGGCAGGAGTCAAGCCCACAGAGGCGAATGAGTTCATCGTGCCTACCTGGCGCCATTCCAGGAAAATGCAATGCCTGGAGCCGCAGAAACAGCAGCACCTGCTTATCGTGAGATACACTGGAGACATCTAGTCTGCAGTAGTTGGCTGGTAATCATGCAGTGGCCTAATCCGATAGTATTCTGGCTCTCTAAGACTTGAAGGAAAAGATGTCAGCGCCTGCAAACAACGTCAAAGCACTTCCTCCCTCTAAGTCTGTGGCAGGCACTGAGTGCCGAGACCAGCTGGACACCAGTCCTCCTTTCACCGGGTTTCTCTCTGGCAGAGTAGGGCTGGGAGCAACCTCAGCAGTTGCTCTCACTTTTCACTCTCTATGCAATAGTTTTTCTTCCTGTGTCATGACTCAGGGGCCATTCATTCAGTGGCTTTAAAATAGTATTTCCTGGGACGTTAAAGAGGGGGTGATGTTGCAAATCTTAGAATCACTTCCTGCCTTAGGTTTTGGGAAATCTGTTTCCTGATCCCCAGGGTGAATACTTCCTTGGCACACAGGAGTCAGAACACTAGTGCTGAACACTCTCTGCTACTCAGGGCATTAAGAACCATGGTGTGATGGGTTTTTGTCTTTTTTTTTTTGGCATTCCAGTTATCAAGTCACCCATCTTTAAGTCTGCTCCTCAGAGATAAGACCAGGGTGGATTCTGGACAGGGTTTCTGACTTGTGGGGGCACCTGGTGTTCTAGAAAAAACGTGGGAGAAGCAGCAGGATTCAGAAACAAGGATTTTTTCTTAGTCAGGCACAGCCTCTACCTTTCCCTGGGCAGTCTGGTGTGACCCAGCCGGCTTTTCTACCTGGTCCCCACCCTGAGAGTCAGCTCCCAATCTCAGGAACAAGCCACCCTCCCCACCTCCTGCATTTCCTTCCAAACAGGCCCTGAAGGCGGCTGGAAACACAGAACAGCCAAAGCAGCACTACTGGGCTGGCAGTTAACCTTTTCTGGATTCGGTCCCCTTTGGGAATCTGATTAAATCTACAGACTCTCCGCCAGAAAAGGAAGCACACGCACAAAATTGTAGGGGGTTAGTTCACAACACTTCTGAATCCCCTCTACAAATACGACCTCAGCTCTGATTCCCCGGCTCACTGAACTGACGGGAACCCTGAGCCCCGGAGAGGCGGTGAGCTGTCCAAGGTCGCACAGCAGAGCGAGACCTGAGCCCCGCCCGGCCCAGCCTTCTTACCCCCGCGACAGGCGTGGGCGCCCCCAAGTGTCCGAGTCCGGGCGGGGCCGAGAGCAACCCCTGCCGCCTGGCTCTGCCCACCCAGCTTGCAGCAGTTCGGCGTCCCTCCAGGCCGCCGCCGCGACCGCCCCCCGCCCGGGGGGCTAAGCTCCGCGGGACCCCGCCCCGCCTCGCCTCACCCGCGGTCGGTTGCCGGTGTCCAGCTCGATGGCCCCGTTGGCCAGCTTCATAGCGCTCTGCAGCGGCTTCACCGCGCCGTCCCCGGCCGCAGCGGCCATGGCGGGGGGC